GCGCGTCCCGCTGGCACCTCCGCGGTTGCGGCATGGGACGTTGCGGCACCTCTCGACCTCTCTCTCTTTCCGTCTCCGCCTCCTCCGCACTGCCGTTCAGCAGTTGTTGTTGGCCGGGGATTCCTCCTTGGCACGCCATGGGGAAGCACTGCTCTCTGCTGTCGCACGGCGCCCGTGGTGCCCGGAGCTCCGACGCCGAGCGTGTGCCCCCAGAGGCGTGGACCCCTTCCTTGGAATAAGTATTTGCACCCCGAGTCGATTCTTGACGGCCCTGGGCCCAGGAAGGGCCCCCATGCGGCCGAACACGGTCAAGGCGTTCCGTCCTGATAGCCTCGCCGCACGAGGAGGTCGCCGCGCAGGGGAGAGACACGCGGCATGCGGCCGGTGGCCGAAATCCTCGTCGGCCTTTCGCGAGGTCTCGAGCCTCTCTGGCGTGTGTGCGCGGAGGGCCACCAAGTCCTGATGAGCTTGTTTTCCACCGCCACCACCACCACCACAAGTTGGAGGAGGAGGGGGCCCCCCATCCTCCCCCACCTCTACCTCCTCCTCCTCTTCCTCCTTCTCCTCCTCTTCGTCCTCCTCGTCCTCGTCCTTCTCCTCCTCCTCTTCGTCCTCCTCCTCCTCCTCCTCGTCCTCGTCCTCCTCCTCTTCGTCCTCCTCCTCCTCCTCCTCCTCCTCCTCCTCCTCCTCTTCGTCCTCGCCCTCCTCCTTCCCCCTTCCAACTGCTGGTGGTGGTGGATCACGGGCCCCTCAAGTCTGCCGTCGGCGCCCCCACCCTCGGCAGGCCCGGCGCCGCCTCCCCGTCCGCCACCCGGCCCATTCCCAAGTCTGCGCGCGCCGGGGGGCAGACACGCAGGCAGCGAGGCTCCAGGCCCCCCACAACAAAAAATTCAGCGGCGAGCGAGGGGGCGGGGGGCAGCGAGAGGGAGTCGAAGAAGAACAAACACAGGAACATAAACTTTTGGCGCTCCGCGCGGGTTTCTTGCATCCGCGCTGGGCCTCCCCCCAAAAAAGATTGGCGGCGAGCGAGGGGGCGGGGGGGCAGTGAGGGTTAAGTCGGGCGTGTCGCTCCTACACGAGGAAGCTTCAAACATAGTAGCAAAAATTTGTCAGGGGACGATTGTCCTACCATTTCTGACCATTTTGATGCACTTCTGGACTATCTTCTATGTTTCGTCAAAAATCCTCCTGTAGGAGGACACGCCCGACCTAAAGCGAGAGGGAGGAGGAGGAGGAGGCGGAGGAGGAGGTGGAGGAGGAGGGCGAGAAGGAGGAGGAGGAGGAGGAGGAGGAGGGAGGAGAAGGAGAAGGGAGGAGAAGGAGGAGGAGGAGAAGGAGGATGAGGAGGAGGAGGAGGTGGTGGAGAAGGGGGGGGCAGTCAGAGAGGGAGGATGCCTTCTCGGAAGGCGGCGGGAGTCCTGCGAAGCCTCCCGCCGCCTTCCCAGAAGCTTGTGTTGCGTCTCGGGGGGAGGCCCAGAAGACTTCTCCGAGGCCGGGGGGGGGCCTTCCGAGCCTTCCGAGAAGGCCTTCTCCTTCTCGCTGCCCCCCCTTCGCTCGCCGCCGGCAGATGAGACCGGCGCAGAGGGGGTCGGAGGATCGCGCCTAATCGCGGCTGCCTCGGCGACACGGCGCAGTCCGGGGCCCGTTCTTCTCCCTGCTGCCATTGCCGATGCATCGGTGACGCGGCGCGATCCACCGACACGCGTCGCTCTGGCCAATGTTGGGCACGAGTGACAGTCGGCCTTGATTAGTAGGCTGACCCTGCCAAATCGAGGGTACCAGCCTTGTGTCCAGTCTATCCCGACCTGTGCACACCGCATTTCCTTGGGCGTGCCGGGGCCACGTGGCCGTCGGAAAATTATTGTGCCCTCTCGAGTGTGCTCTCCAATCAGGTCCGACTGCAATGAGGGGCGACAAATGAGGGGTGGAAGACTGGTGCCCTTTTCGGGCCCTGCATGCCTCGTTCTGGGCCCCCAGAGGGCCCCTCGAGGGGTCCCAAAGGGCCGCTTTTCGGCAGCTATTGCTGCCGCCCTGTGAATCGCCAACACCCCCCGCATTTACCGCCGCCCAGCGGTCTCCCTCTGGACAGTGATAAGGGGGTCGCTCGAGCACTCCGCAAGCTAAGAGTCCGTACCGTGAGCTCTCAGCGCCCCCCCGGCGCCGGGACAAGCGGCGGTCTTCAGCGAAAGCCACACGAGGCACTCTCTCGAGGTCGCGGACCCTCACAATTGTTCTGGCGAAGGGCCCAGCCAGGGGGAGGGAGGAGGTGGGAGGGAGGGAGGGAGGGAGGGAGGGAGGGCGGGAGGGAGTGAGGGAGGAGGAGAAGGAGGAGGAGGAGGAGGAGGAGAAGGAGAAGGAGCAGGAGCAGGAGGAGGAGGAGGAGGAAGAAGAGGAGAAGAGGAGGAGGAGGAGGAGGAGAAGGAGGAGGTGGAGGAGGGTGGGGAGGAGGTGGAGGAGGTGGAGGAGGTTGAGGAGGATGAAAAGGAGGAGGAGGAGGAGGAGAAGGAGGAGGTGGAGGAGGAGGAGGAGGAGGAGGAGGACCAGCGCTCAGACTGAAGAGGGGTGTGGCCGTCCAGGGCCGCAATCCGCTACCCCTCTGGGGGGCTTTCCTGGCAAGCGAGGGTGACCTCGGAGACAGGCGGATGGCTCTCGTCTCGTGAAACGTCCCAGGCAACACTTCCCCCACTCGGATGACCAATCTCGAGGTCGGTGGGGTTCGTCTCAGCCAGTTCTTTCACTAGCTGGGCCAGAGGGATCGGTGAACGCAAAACAATTGGTGAATTTGCGGCCCCCTTGGGATGTCTACCCTCCGCGGCTCGCTGCTTTTGCAGACGTCTACCGTGATTAGGGGTCTCTCCAGGACATTCGTCGGCTAGGCCTCTGGCGCTCTCGGAGAAGGCTCCACAGGTCCAGCACAAAAGCAGGCTCAAGGGACTGCATTCATCTTCGTAGCCAAAGAAATAGAGATTGTGGCCTCGAGGATTGCTCACAAGGCTACTGTGAAACTCGCAGTAGCCAGGGCATTCCTCTTGGTCACGTCTGGCCTTAGCTGCACTAGTAGCGCAGCTGTGGCGGCAGGCTGCACATATGAAGCTCTTCCCCCAGGGGTGCCACTGATGCTTTCGACGCTGGGTATCGGCGGCGAGCGGGGGCCTCGGCGGAGGAGGTGGAGGGATAAGGCCCCACGAGAGGCCAGCCGACGCGGCCCCAGTGGGCGGGTTCAAACTCAGCATCGGTTTGTCGAAAGCTTTGGCACCAACCTTGGGGGCTACAGGTGGCCATAACTGTAAGGCTTCTGAAACGTACGTAAGAAACTTGACCAGTAGCTCGCTCGGACCTTCCTGCAACTCGGTCTCTAGTTGACTCGGTTGGGAGGCTCGAGCAGCGGCGATCTTCGCATATCTGTCGGCAGCATCGTTGCCTGTGGCTCGTCGCCACTCAGGACTATACTCTGGGAGCTCATGTATATTGACGTGCGCTTTAATCTTGTTTAGCCTTGGGCCCAGTGGGGTAGCGCAAGCGCCACCGAGGACCTTGAAGGCCCCGTAGAAATCGGACCGCGAAAAACTTTCCTTTCGGTGCACGTTTATGGCTCCTTGGTAGTCTACAAACATTTGGGCGTGTGGGTGAGCATTGAGTCCAGCAGCGAGCACAGCACAGTGCTCAGCAACAGGGGAGGAGGATGGGAGGTATCTACCCACACGTCCGATGAGGTAAGCAAACACGTCACCGTGGCCATCGATGGCCACCACTGACCACCCAGCTACGTTATAATTTTTGTGCCCTCCAGGTTTGAGACAGGACCCATCGGTAAACATATCTCCAGCAAGGGCCTCGTGAGGCTGCATGCTGGAGTCTCGACACCAAAACTCTGCATATTCAAAGACAAACCCGTCAGGAGCCCCTGTTTCGAATTCAGGTTGGAACTGGAAACCGTACGCTACAGCCTGATCCGTCACCTTCGACATCGTGTCAAGTTCGTCTGCTGTGAACGCATCGCGTAACTGGGCACTGAGCGGGCAATGTAAAAGGCGGTGACGCAAGTCATCGCACGGGTGCCCGCACTGGCACCTGCCGTCAGAGTCGTATCCAGCTCGCTGCAAGCGCGCGTTGGTCCAGATACTCTGGGTGAGAAAACTAAGAAGGGTGGATCTGGCTTTCTTTGGCAGCGTCTTCCCAGCCAACCTTTTTCGGGCGATACTGACGTCAAGGGTCTCCTGGGGGTAACCAAGTTTCATGGCGGCTTTCCTGAGGATGGCCCGCCCCCATGCCTCTTGCATTTTCTGGGCAATCATTCTGGGAGTGCAGGTTGTGGGTGGGTGCCGATGCCCGTTCGCATCCTGCCCCTCCAAAACAGAAACACAACTCCAGCCTATCCGTCGGGGGGACAGACAGGCGGCCCCAAAGGGGCCTCGCTCGGCATCCCACTTCCTAGGCTGGTTCAGAAACATTGGCTCAGCTAGGCTTTTCGGCTCAAGTAGTTATCGGGGGTGGCTGGGTCTCGTCGCAGCTCGCCAGATCATGGTCGACCAAGTCAGGGCAGGGCCTAGGCCTGCTCACCAAGTAGGGTCTCCTAGTACCGCCAGACTTAAGGATAGACTTCTTGCGCGCATCACTTTCAAGTATTCCGTCTGGGGATTCTGGAGCTCCTGGGGATCCATGCCGACAACCTCAGTTCCATACGTAAGGGCTTGCTGAAGCCCCGTCTTCCATAGCTTTCTGGTCTCGCCTCCAGCTATCTGGACCGCTCGTATTCGGTGTCGTCGTCGTTTATGTTTAACGAAACGCGTGTATAGGGTCGCTTTAGCAACACGTCGTCGCACTCGGAGCCCCGAGGCCCCCGCAGCACTGTCGATCCCGAGGTTGGTGGCACAGTGGGCATCCTGGGGTCCCGCATACTTCCCGAGGGCCTTCCTAATTTGTCTTCGTAGTCTGGCGGCGGAAGCAATAACCTGAGCTTTGTGTAACACCAACTTGCACTCGAGCTCTTCAGTAACCAG